GAATAACATGTGACCTCAGTTGTCTTCGCACTTGACACGACATACAAGTAGATAGGAACGTATCAATCATTTTTGATAGAATCCAAAAATAATGCTGTGTGATTTCGTAACGCATCTTGTTCCTACCACCACGATCCGTTTTAATGTGAGTTTCTTGTAAAGTCTAAAGAAAAGAGCTAGGAATGACTGTTCACTGAAAATAAAAGGACTTACTTGATAATAATTTTCCACTATAGCAACTCGATTGCCATTTTTCAATAAACATAATAACTCGATACCAATACTAGAAACAATTCTGAAATGCCTTTTTGTCCATAAAAATAATTTCAAGTTAATACCTGTCGTTTTGTCACCTTTCGCTTGTTTCACAGAATTAATGATTTTGTTATACAACTGCATTGTTTTCCTTGATTAATCTCGCATGCATACGGATAAAGTATTTTTAAATCTCTCAACATTTTTATAAAATTTATCCAACGATAATCAGTCAGATTTGTTTTAGTTCATTATCATAAATTGTTGTTTTAATCTATATGACCTCTTTTTCTAGATTTCGAACGATTACAAAATGAGTAATTCAATTTTGGTTGTGTAAAGATGGTATAAAAACTAGTAATTTTTTTCTTGATCAATTTTTTGATTAAACTTTTTTTATTTAGACTCCACCATCGTCATTTATTATCCAAGCGAAAAAATCTATTTATTTATTTGCTTTAATGATGACTTTGTTTGTTATGTACATCGTGCTATTTTGTCTCTGTGCTTATTATTCAAAATCGTTGTTAAATTATTTTAAATCGTAACAAGAATGAAAGTCGAAAGAAAGCAAAAGAAGAAAAAGAATTAATCTACTCAAGTTTATTTCCATCCTATGAATTTCGTCATTCTTATGATATTCAATTTATTAATAGATGTACCACATTCGAAGATATTGATAAATTTATTTCTATTACTCGTAACACCTTACATTTTACTGTCGATACGGAAAGTGATTATTATACTAATCAAGCTGCTCTTATGCAAATTGCATTTCTTCCATCAGCTGGTGAGTTAGTTTTGGTATTACTTATTGAAGTCCAGTTTCTTTCTGATCGATCATCATGTCTTTTCTCGTAATTTCAACAATTATTTGATGCAATTCTTCATGAAGATGGACATATCTATGGGTGGAGAAATGCTCGTGATGAAATTTTAAATTTTCGTTCATTTTCACAATGTGCAAATTATCTTTATTAAATGGTTCAATGAATGGATTTATTACAAACAATTAATCTTTCTGAAAACGATGATAATTTTAATAATAATGTTGTTTTTCTCCATGCACCATTATATAATCCATCCCTTTTCATGCGAGCCCATGTAATCAATAAAATTAAAATGATAGCAGGAAATCTTTGGAATATTCAAGACGCCATGGTTTATTTATTTAATCAATATTTATCTAAGAAAGAAACACTTTGTAAATGGCCAATTAGTCTTGATTGTCGTCTAACCAATGTCAGTGGTAATTTGTTTTCTCATTGTCAACGACTTATTACTTATGCTACTAATGATTATTTATCCCTTCTTCAATTGATTTTATTTATTCATAAACATCTATCTGACCATTTTAATAATGATAAATTTATTATACACATGGGAGAGTATTTTGTTTATTTACATAAAAAATATTGAATTATCTTTCCATTGATTTGTCTTACTCATAGTTTCATCTATTTTTTTTATAAAAATAATTAGAAGTATCATTACTTTCTTCGATTATTTCAATGAAATTGAAAAGATCGACAAACAACGTTGTCAAAAATATTTCTTCAGGCCAAGAATGATCAAAACTAAATTACAAATCAACTAACAACTCTAAAAAAAATTCATTAATCGATCTGTTTGTTCAATAGTGCACAAAGGAGATAATAGACGTATGACTAATCAATTGAACAAGAATCGAGACAATATTTACTCGTTGTCTAAGTTCTTTTTCAGATGATTGCTAATTTTAAACTGTTAATTTGATGTGAAGAGGAAAATGAATAAATATTCTTCAATCAAAATCGAATGATGAAGAGTTTTTCCAGATCAATTTTGAATATTTTTTAACCTATTGATGCTGGTTTTAAGTTAAATAGGGATACTGTTCGCGATCAAAAGTTAATTATGAGAGAATGTGAAATAGTAATTATTGTCAATTGTCAATTTATTAAAGTAAAATCAAATCACAAAGTTTTCGTACTTAAAATTTTGGTGTATTCTCCAATGAGATACTTAATTATGTAAATAATAAAACTGTTTTTTGTATTTATTACAGATTAATTAATATTTACAATTGAAATTGGTAAAATATTATTGATTGTTTGTTAAAATGTAACTATTATTTCATTATCGATTGACTATTAGACACGTTGATGTCAAAAATCATTATTTAGACATAGTTATCAAATCACTCGTTCGAAATATTATCTTTTCAAAAAAACTACATGGTATCTTACAACAAGATCTAATTCAATCAATATTAGGTTGAAGCAATAGTCACATATAGTACTTCATAAACCTTTAAGCGAGAAAAATAAACATTTTCCACGATCAATACCATTGTCCAATCTTGTTTATGCCACAAACGATGATGAATTTTGAAATCGTTCTTCATATGTCAGTATGAATCATTGTAAAACATGCTGGTTAGTTTTTAAAAAAGGTATGATAAGAAACGTAAAGTTGATATCTGATGTCGTCATTTTTCCATTCGTGATATCATTTAGTTACACATTTTTTCTTATAGTTTTCAACATCAGTCAATTATAATAATACAATGAATATTTCGGATTCGCTTGTCTATCGTGTTGCTACAGAAATGGATAGTGATTCGTTAGCGACATTAATAAATAATGCTTATCGTAGTCCAATAGCAGATCAAGGATGGACTAATGAAAATACATTGGTTCTTGTACCACGAGCAAATGCAAAGAGCTTGTCAAATATGATTCAAATTGGTAAATCTATTATGTTGATGTTCTTCGGTGAAGATGATCAAATTTTAAAAGGATGTATCTATCTGTCACCTCAACTAGAATCTAAAACCGCTACAATAGGTTTATTTGCTGTGCGTCCAGATTTTCAAGCAAGAGGTTATGGAAAATTTATCATATCTACTGCTGAAAAGTATGCTATCAATAGTTGGAATGTTGAATATATTAAATTATCTGCTATTGTTCAAAGACCTGAATTAATAAACTATTATACTCGTCGTGGTTATATAGATACTGGCGAACATGAACCATTTTTTGGTCCACATTTGACACCTAAATGTGTTACGAGAGATGATTTAGAAATTTGCACAATGATTAAATGTGTAAAAAACGAGAAAGGAAATATAAGTTAAATATATATCGAAATATTTATTGTATGAATACATAATCAAAGGTTTTGCCTATAATTTTAGATAATCTTTTAAATAAAATCAATAAAAGAGTGAATATATATAAACATTTTCCGTTCATAGTTCGAGTATATTTAGGATTTATTAAAACATCGAATAAAAAAATATACGACCAAAAAGTTATGTTCACTTTTTATTTTATTAAATGTTCAAAATAGTCAACATGATTATTTATAGAAAATTTCAATCTCTATATATACTATCAAAAGTAATATTAAAGTATATGTCTAAATTATTTTTTCACATAATCCAGAATTCGATCATTTGAAAATGAAGAAGAAAGTAAGTCTTCACATCATATTTTATAAGAAGATGAGTTTTTAAATAATATAACTGTATGATATTATACAAGATTGGAATAAAATATTTATAATTACATAGGAGAATAGATAGAAGTCAATTCTTTTAAAAACTTTGATTAGGACATAATACAGTATCTATAGACAAAATATCATTGAAAGTCAAGAGGGACACGAAAAAAAAAGATTTTCTCATTATTAGTATATTGCCAAAATACGTTAATTTTACTTATTTATACTTTACAATCGTATATTCTAAATTTTTCAATTTTTTTTGTGAAAAAAACTAACACGATCAGAGACACACTATTAACTACGACATATTATTTCATCAAGTATTATTATCACATGTTCGTAGATAAGAATATAAAAACACTTTTCTCAAGCATCTAAAGACAAACAAAAAATGTTCGTTTTACTATTAATTTTTCTGACTATTGTACACAATGGTTATGCTCTTCAGTGCATGGCTGACTGTTCAGTTAATGAACTTCGTTTTGATCAACTACTACAAATTCCTGCTGGTCAATGTCAACAATATATCTCCGCACCCAGCTGTTCTGTTGGTCTTACCTTCGAGTATCACAAGCAGAAATATTCTGCACGCTTTCAACATAGTCTTGTATCATGGGATTATATCTATATCACTTCTGGACCTTATCTATCGTATGATATTCACTATTTATGTTCAAAAGAAACAAAATGTGCTCTTTTGTATGCACAAAAGAGAGTCAATGAAATGATCAATCGTGCATATAATGTCACTCGTGTATACGGACAACTCGCACCATTTCTCGAAAATCCTTTACGAAACGATTCCATACACTGTTACAATATTTATAACGAGATTATTATGTGTCCATCTAAACAAGTTTGTAGTATGGAATATGATCAGCGAGTGAATAAGGTCAAATCACGTGGTTGTGAATCACGTGTCACTCCTAGAATTTATGTGCATGATGGTGAATCTAATTCATATTTTCATATTGAATGTGATAGTGATTTATGCAATACTGATGAAACATACCTGGAAATTAGAAAAATTTTTGCTCATAATGATTTAACCGATATCAATGGACGATTCATTGCTGCGGGAACAAAGACCATGATTTCTACTCTTTTCATAATATTTGCGTTGTTTTTTGTCATTGTCTTTTAGTTTTTAAAGTAAGTTATATTGATTAATTTAAAATAAAACCGAAGTTGTTGCTGTTCTTTAGAGCAAAATATATTTTTCAGTCAAATAACAAAGCATCTAAGCATATTTGAACTCGTATTAAGCACAATTTTGTAAGATTTGAAAAATACATATCAATCTATTTCAGTTTTGAATGAAGACTCTTTAATATGTTCTCACGATAAGCAACGATCATAGTCAGATAAAAGTTAAATTGTCAAATTACTAATTTTACGCACAATATGAATATTTTTTATTAAAGATTAAAGAATTTTTTACAATATTTTTGTGACAAAATGACAATACAACAATAAACATGAAACAATAAACTTTGATTTAATGTTCTCAAATTCCAATAATTTTATGTTGTCGGCATAATTCGTGTTGTTGGTAGTTTTAAGATATTTTTCATTTTAATTTGTAATTCTGGTAATGAAAAGGCGCATACAAAAGGATAAAGAGGGATGACAAAGTAACTAAGAAAAACTGTATATATATATAATTGATTGATGATAGAATTTGATACAAAAAATATATTACGTATTATATAAACTATTGTATAGGGTAATAAAATAATAAGATACAAAAATGCAATTGATAATGCTTGAATTGTCATTTTTCGATATTTTCTCCAATGAATCATTTGACGCATACGATGTTTTTGCCATAAAACACGTATAACTAAACCAATACTACATAAAGTAATAATAGCAATGGGTACAATTTGATGAGCAAAGAAATCCCACATTGAAAGTATATAATTGTCATATAAACATGGATAGATACATACAAGTGAAGAGGGACGAAGACGATTTTGACAAGGTGGAAAAAAATAAACAACAAAATAAAAAACAAACCAATAAAGAAGAAGTACGAAAATAGGAGTATAATGAACAAAAAAACGTCTCCTTTTTGTTGAGACCCATTGATCATGAAAAATCAATATATGTCTTTCTATCATTGCCCATGCAAATATTAATGTATGAGCAATGTAAAGTGACCAATCAAGAAATCCCAAAAAGAGACAAAACATATATGATCGTTGCCAGACACTTTGATTTGGATAATAATAAAGCATCCACGGATAAAATGTCATTTCATTAATCAAACAAAGGATAAGAAGAATAGTAATTGTATGATTATGAAGAGCATTACGTAAATTTCGATCGAACAAAAGATGATAGAGTAAAAACAATGTACATAAAAGTGATGGAATTAGAACAATAAGAATTGTCCAAAATTTTACAGTATCGGGTATCATTAGAACAATTAAAAGAAGAGAAAACTATAAAAATGAAAGGTGCGAATAGAATAAAATATTTCTCTTGATCAAAGTGTCGTGTTAGTTTTTATGAGAAAAGTGACTTCATGAAATTACATTAATACTTACAAAATATTTTTTTCTTACCGTTCATCCTTTTTTACATGGGAGAATGCACAAGTTTGCTACTTAAAAACGTCGTAAAACGAGTATTATCTGCTTTTATAGCAAGTAAAAGTACTTGTTCTATACTTAGTCGGTGTATTCTATTAAATATAATGGCATTTCTTCTATCAATTAATAACAAGAATAACCTTCAATTTGTGATAAAAAGGTTTTCTCTTTTAATTTCTAATACCAATATAATTTGAATGTTTAACATTACTTTCAAATGATAGAATAGAATACAATTTTGTATTAGTTACGGTCTATAATCCATGTAAATATTTTTCGCCTCAGAATGTGTCTGAACCCGTTCCTAGTGAAATAAACGAAGCATTTAGATGCAGTTTATTTTAGAAACGCGTATGAATGCATTTGCACTTTGACTTGAGTTCAAACGCGTCCTCAGTGAAACATTCGAAGCGTCTGAATGCGTTTCATATAAAATCTAGAAATTTTGAAAAATATATTCAAATCCATCTCAGATTCTAACTGATAATTTTATTATTTTGTAACAAAATAATATCTTTTTTATCGTCTACTACACATAATTAATATTACAATTTTTTTTCTATTACACGAGCTTCATGAGAATAATTGTATCGAAGAATTTAATGAATAACTTATTATTTATACAATCTATTTAGTAGAAATTTATGATGCAAAATTATTAAGTAGTTTGCTAAGCGGACACTGGATAGCTGAAAACTATTTCAATATTGTCTCATTATTATTCATAGAAGCTTTAGAGAAATATCGATTATTTGTCGTATGATGTTTAATTGAATTTTAGTCTATTTTAACATCATCTGGACATTCTTTATTAAAAACTCTATTGAAGTTTAGATCGATAAAATATACGTAAATCAATCATTTCGATTACCTGGTTAATTCTTTCAGAGAAGCAATTTTTGAGATAAAATTGCGTCTGATACACAAGAAAGAAACGGGTACAAACACGCTCGAATACATGATTGCGTTTCAACGCATTAAATATTTTTCAAAAACTTATTGAGACGCACATAATTTTTCTTCTGACTGCGCCTCAACACATCGATTTTGCGTTGCCTACTTACATGGGAAATTGATTGAAATCTAATCTTTTGAAGATATCATACTTTATATTGAAAATAATTGACTTTTGAATAGATAAATATATGAAACTAATATAACCATCATATATTTACAGCAACATACAAATATCAATTTTTAAACGCTTAATATTGGTATGAATAATTAAAAGAAAAGTCATAGACAATTACTGTAAATTTTTTTTTAATAAAACAGATCAATAAGCAGAAATTGAAAAATAATGATTCATATACTTAAAATATTAAGATTTGAGCATGACGACTGAAACGAGTATAAGCGATGGATTTTTTTATTACATGTGCGTGCATATTTGAAACGAAAAATGTGCGCTTTGTCATGCGTATCAATCCTTTCTTCCTTTCTTTTTATTTTGTGATAGAAAACGAAACATGTATCATTCATAATATTATTTATTTATTACGCATCATCATATATATAACGATAGATATACAATGAACCGATTTGTTGAAAGTGAGTTTGATACTAAAGTATTACCACCACTTTGTGGATATTGGAGTGAAAAATTAGTTACATTAGAACAAGCTTTAAAACTTATAATGCCTCGTATTGAAGAATTAAATCGTTCTATTAAAGCAGCGAAAAAACACTGTCATTTTCCATCTGAACATGGTCTTTCTCATGATGAATCAGCTGCATTATATTTATATACGATGGAAGGTGGTGAACAAAGTTTCTACCGTGTATTAAATCAAGCACTACGAAATGAAGATCGACCTTCTCTAAAACCTTGGTTTCCTTATTTAAAACTTCTTGATACAGCACTTAATAAATTACCAACTGTGAATAAAAATGTTTGGCGAGGTGTAGTTGGCGACATTGGTCACGATTTGAAAAAGAATGATAAATTAACTTGGTGGAATGTAAGTTCATGTTCATTATCACTCGATGTTATCAAAGATTATTTATCTACTGAAATTCGATCAACGCTTTTCTTAATTGAAGCTAAACAAGCAAAAGATATTTCTCGTTACACAAATTATCCTGATGAAAGTGAAGTATTACTCGGTCCTGGTATTCAATTACGTGTAGTAGCTAATGCAATGAATCTCTCGAATGGATTAAATATCATTCATTTGGCTGAAATTGTCGACGATGATACAGAAATTCTATCATCGACTTCGTCTACTAATCATTTAGAGTCAGAAACACCAGTAGACAAAGGTAGATTTAGTAAGTGTCAAATGTCTATTTTGATAAAATTTCAGATTAATACGAATCAAAATGAAATTTGTAGTAGAAGAAACCAAAATAGAATAGTCAAAATTCGAATCCAGTGATTATGGGAAGCATAGTATTTACTATAATTCATGTCATTTGTTTTCTCATAGAACATTGGAAAATATTCATAAGATCTTTCTATTTAGAACTTCGACGTCATCAACATAGATCTCATGTTCTTT